ACTATATATATATATATATATATATATAGTGTCTATGATATGCCTATAATCTCTATAGTGTGAAAAATTTGTTGTACATATATCTAACTTGTTCCGAATATATATATAAATATGATTTTGAAAACAAGTGAAATGCGTGCTGTTTAATTATCGTTGAATTTATCGCTAACAAATCACAGACACCTACTGTAGAAGGATCCTAAACCCAACAACAACATAATATATATTTATATTATTCAAAAAGTATAAGTAAAAGCCTTTTATTTTGACAACTGGAAAAAAATATATATATTTCAACTTCTGACAATTGACACACACATGGCCTCAAGGTCACCTACATTCGTAATGTTAGAAAAATAGGGAAAAACAAGTATGCTGCATTAACGTTATCCACGCTAACGTCTTGAACAAAGATCGTTTTAATTTCAGTCACAGACACTGTTTCTTATATGAAAAACTATGAAACAATGAACGACGATTTATATCAATTTGCGAAGTTGATTTAAAAAAAAGGTTCCTAACTAGTATTGTGTTAGCGACTATTATTTTTCTCCGCAGGGTTGGTTTAAAATAGACAATTTATCTCTAATTATATCAAGTTAAGATAATCCTCGATAATATATAGAAAGCAATGTTAAAGAAGGAAAATTTTAAAATTAAAATAGTCAATTTCATTATACACCACTCAACAATATACCCAACAACGCCCCGCGGTGGCTCAGCGGCAAACTTGAGGGATTATAACGCTAAAAGTTTGGGCTCGACCTTCGCATCTTTGCGGTGGGCAAATAGCAGATAGGCCATTGTGTAGTTTTATGTTTAAAACAAACCAAACGAGAGCAATCAGAGAGATTGCATATCCTTGCCCCGCCGCTTCTTTTCGAAATTGCATGCATTTATATTGGATAATGTAAAATTTTACCTCCGAAAACTCAGATGTAGTTGTTTTCCGATGCATGTTGACAAACTTATAATGAAGTCAGGATTAACTTGAACACATCTATGCCTTATTCCTTTTTTATAGAAGAGAAACATTCAATAT